ATTCAGTGGGCCCCACAACTTACACACACCGACAAGCCCACGGTCCCTGGCGTGACAGAGGGGTAAGAGGGGCAGGGTCAGAGGGTGTGGGGGTGGGGTCGGGGTGAGTTAGGGCAGGGAAGGAGTGACTAGGGCCCAATGGGGGTGAGTCAGAGGAGGGTTTGGGGTTGAGAGAGAGAGAAGAGAAGAGAGAGAGAGAGGTGTAAAATGAGTCAAAAAATAGTAAGGGTTTTGATCCAATAGATCTAATAATCTTGAGGATTTTCACCATTGACAAGTCAACTTAGGGAACAACACGTGATTGAAATATGCAAAGCAGTGGAAGCATTTTTCCCTAAGAAAAAGGTAACAACAAATACTAGTGAAATGGGTTATTGAGAAGCCTCTTGCCTCATATGAGAGATTAGGTATAGGATTTTGCTTTCCTGGATTTATTTTATTTGATCAAGGGATGGAAAGAGAACAATGCAAAATAAATAAATAAAATAGGAAAGGAAAACACGAAGAACAAAGATGTATATGAGAGATTAGGTATAGGATTTTGCTTTCCTGGATTTATTTTATTTGATCAAGGGATGGAAAGAGAACAATGCAAAATAAATAAATAAAAATAGGAAAGGAAAACACGAAGAACAAAGATGTATATGTTGAAGTAGGTGCATCCCGTTATTGAAGGAAAAAAGAAGACAACATGAGACGTGGATTCTAGCATACCCTTTTGTAATTTCTACACTATATAATCAACCAGCCCATGTGCAATAATGCCTGTTGGACCAGTTATACTCCTCTATGTTGAGATGATGTGCACCTAACATTATCATCTAGTAACAAAAACAACACAAAGTTCGATCGGGATGAGAAAATGTGAAGAACACCTCTAGGAAAAGAAATTACTTCAGATATGTCACATCATTTTGTTGGAATTGCATACTTGGCTTTTTGAACTATCAGAAACCAAAATGGAAAAAACTTGCTCAGGATGTGGATTGCAAGCAACTACAAGAAAGAATGTACAACATTCTCCAACATCGCGAAAATGGAGTTCATTGGAGAACTAGGAAAAACATAAAGATGTTTAGCTTTTTTATTATAACTACCATGAAGTACAAGAAAGGACACACAGTATGAAGATATATATGGTCAACTAGGAACATTCCATTATCTTATGGAAAAAAGAAAAGCATGAGAAACGCAGAGTGCAGTATACTATTCGCACTGTGTACTCAATCACCAATATGGTAAAAAAACTGGTTGAACAGTTACAGTGCTTTCAATTGACAAGATTTTGAATCTACAATGTCAGTAGCAACTTAACACTAAAGGCACAACATAAACCACATAACACGGAGAGTGCAAAATCGTCGCTATGTATTTAAGTTGCTAAAGATGCATCACTTAAAATTGGTAAAATTCTATTACGTAGGTATTTGACTTTCAGCAACCAGAAAAGGGAAATTTTCTTAGAACTTGGAACACAAGTAACTACAAAAATGAACAGATAGCCTACTTTGACAAAACAAAAAATGGCAGCTAAAAAGAACCAGAAGAAAAACATAGGCATAGCGTGCACTTTTGCAAACATACCATGAAGTACAAGAATGGAAACAATGATGATATTGGTAAAGCTGAAAAGGAAAAAAAAACAAATGATGAAATATCAGAATCATGTAAAAGTAGTAATGGCAAAAAAAAAATTAGGTGAGACAGCATCTAAATTTTAAGAAATCAAATAACAAGTGGGTAAAGTAAAAATCCACTCTGAGCAATGGAAAGTTACCTTTATTTGCTGTACATTAAACATGGAAAATTGCCTTTGTTTGCTGTACATGAAACAGCAACCAAAGTTGTCCATAACAGTACACAAATTCTGTTCCCTTATTTTTTTTATTTTTTTTTCTTCTTTTTTTTGCTCTTAATAATAAATTTCTTCCTATCAACTGCTGACAAGACCCAGAAACAGTAATCAAATTTCAGCATGTTTGATAAATTAAATCAGATCAAGCAAAATCTCGCCCCCTCTACAATAAAACTGCTAACAATTCGAGCTAAGTTTTTTAAATGTGATTGACATACATAATAACAAAAAAAAAATCATTCTTTGGTTGAACCTATTAGAATTTGTTTTGAAATTAATTAATCAAGTATTACTGAAAATAGGCGAAAACTATCTATACCAGAAAGAATCTATACTCTTCTATTCCCTAATTATCTTTGTTCTTGCTAATAATACTAATCAAGGTTAAGCATGTTTGATAAAATAGATTACTATTTTAAACTTATTAATAATTTCAGCAAAATTTGGTGGGGGGGGGGGGGTTTTAAAATAGATTACTATTTTAAACTTATTAATAATTTCAGCAAAATTTGGTGGGGGGGGGGGGGGGGATTTATCATCACGCGTAATAAAAGAATCATTCTTTGATCAGAACATGCCCTTACCAGTACACAAAGAGATGATCCAAACATACAAGAACTCTCTGTACGGAATCCCCAATTTCTCCTCTTTCCGCTGGTCCATCTTACACCCAGGACAGTTCTCGCGGTACATGTTACCCAATAAACCTCTGTTCTCTCCTCCATCTGTTGTCCCCTAATAAAAAGAACCAAAATTGAGCAATTAATGAAACCTTTGTATATCGACAAAAAAAAACCCAGCTCTTCTAATTGGGCGGCGATTTGTTTGGCACTCACTTGTTGAGCGAGTAATGAGGAGGAGGAGGGCGGCGGTAGTCGTCAGCGGTGACCGGATCTGGAGGTGGCGGGCTATCGGATCCGTTGGGTTTGGATCCGATTAGGGTTACGGTTTGGGGTTTGGAGAGAGAAAAGGGCGCGAAACGGGGTTTGAGGGCAGCTGGATTAGGGCCCACGGGTTGAGGGGAAGATGACGTTAGGCCCCTCGGATTACCAATATTTTGATATTAGATCCCTAAAAAAGGCTAAATATCCTAACCCCCAAAACATTTTGGGTGGTTATTGGATAACCATCCTTAACTTTGAAAATATCAGGAATCTCATTAAGGGTTATTCAGAAACCGCCCTAAAAGTGATGCTTTTGGGGGGTTTCTAATAAAATAACAAAGCGATAGGGGTCTTCATATAAAATCTTAATAGTAAAGGGAGGTTTTCTCATAACCCCTATACTTGAGAAGGCGGGTTAATATTATTAAAATTAAGGAAGATTATCTAATAATCGTCTAAAATTAAGAAGGATTTTTCTGATATACAACCCTTGTTGTTTGAAATTAGCTCCTCTAGTTAGATGGAATATTCTATAAAGTTTGTAATATGATTAATAAGTTAGTCATTTTGTCTCATATTAATTAGAACGGTTAAGGACGGTTATATCTATCTTAGAGTCCCTATGGTTCCGAATTTATCTTTTATTCACAATTATACTATTTTCACCTTAAGAAATGAGTAACTGACATTGATACGATGACAAATTCTATTATATTGTATTTTTTTATTTGTGCGTTTTTATTATTCTATGAAATTTTTAACTCATGTGATATTGTTATGTTATTTTAGAGCATCAAAAAGTATGCTTAGAACAAATATCCGATAATTCAAAATTTATGAGAAGTTAAGAGATTATGTAATATAGAATATTTTATTCAAAAAAGCATGTGTACGTTAATATATATTTGATAGAACTCACATTCAAAAAAAAATTGATTCTGAAGTTTCGCAAGTAAATTTGCCTTTATAATATTTTATTTATTTTTTGGTAAGGGTGTTTGGTTCGCTATTATAAGGGGTGGAAAACTCAGAAAACCCCTCCACGTCAGATTTTTCGCCCTCCACGTCAGCTTTTTTGTTTCCGTCCATTTCTTTGTGCCGCTTTGGTTCGCTCGAATGGAAGAGGGAAAACTCTGCTGAAATCGCCGCCAACTAAGATTTTTTTCCCTCTCCGATTTCCTTTCTCAACCAAGTGAAATTGATGAAAACTCTGCCACGTCAGATTTTTTTTTCCTTCTCTGCTTTGTTTACAAAAGTTTTCCTTTTTTTCTATGCGAACCAAACGCAAGAAAAATAAATACATTGGTTTCCCACCATTTTTTATGTGCGAACCAAAGCAAAACAATCTATTTCTTGAAAAAGTTTGTAAAACTCAAAACTTGTGTTTCTTTACATAGAATTGCATTTCTCTATATCAAGGAAACGAACCAAACAGCCCCTAAAGAAAATTAGAAGATCACAAGGAGGACACAAATAGAGAAAATTTAGGTAGATATTGTATTAATTATGTTTTCATTCAGACTGTCTTTCTTCATTTCTTCATTTTCATGGTAAATGGGTGTGTTTCCCCCCATAATTCTAAGTTCATCGGCGTTGATTATACAAAGTTGAGCATTATGCTGGAAATTACCTACATTACAGCTAGCGAAATTAAAGGTGCAATCTTTGGTCTCCGTCATTTAGTTCAGATTAAGGGCTTGTTTGGATTTAGAGGGGGTGAAGGGAAGTTAGGGGAACCTAGGGGAAGTTAAAGTTAAGTTAAGGGAAGGGAATTTCTAAAACTTGTTTGGGAAACAAGTAAGGTGAATCAAGGGGAAGTTATTTCACCCCGTTTGGAAAGTGTGATAACGGGAAGGAAATGGAAGGGAATGTATATAAATTGACATAAATACCCTCACATATTATTAAGTTATATTGTTGTTAGAAATTAAATATCAAATATGCATCTATTGCTATATATTATTATTGTCATCATCTCCTTCCACATTGTATATCCACAATCAACACAAATCAGATAAATATGAAATTTTTTGGAGTATAGTTGGAATAAAAAATAATAACCAATATATTCATCGATGAGACTACAAAACAATACAAAAGCTTATTTTCACTCTTCTTTTGCAAATATACCCAGTTAGCAAAGCAACGACCAACTAAATGATGAAACTCAAATACCTACACGAACACAAAACTACCATAACACTTGTCATTCAAGCTGCAAAAATCCCTAATTTTGAACGGTCTTTTACAAATTTTATTGCTCCATAAAATAAGCTCAGTTTGGATGATACAAGGTAAATTCATCAACAAAAACTAAAAAACAAATTGCGTTTATTAATACTATCCAGCATCAACCTCATTAACCAACATCCCCGTGAAAAATGTTCCAATGAAGCATTACGGAGAAATAAAATAAAACATTTTTTCCACAAAGTAGCTCTTTATGCTCATATTCTCTCCACAGTTGACATAAGACCCCTTTAAAGAAGGGAGGAAGAACAAAAGCTTCAACCGCTTTCACTCATTTCTTCAATTTCGTTGAGTTATCCAAGGCCAAGTCTTGCAGGTTCAGTAACAGGAGAGAAAATCTTACCTTGAAAAATCAAAACCTTTACTCAAATTGGGCAAGAGATTGAGGCGAGACAAGACGCGGAGGAGAGAAGACGCGGAGGCGAGATGAGACGCGGAGGAAGAGGAAATGGCGGAGGCGCTTGCAACGAGAGTTTATACTGTGGGGTTTCTGTGAGCAAAATTTAGCTGTTGGATTTTGATCTTAGCTAGGGATAAATATGTCTCTCTACATTTGTTGTATTCCCCCTCTTTATCTTCAACCCCATTACACCCCAAATTGGGGGGAGGGGGAGGGGGGAGGGAGAAATCATGGTATTTTCTTACCTTTTTTCACCTCCCCTTACACCTATTAACTTGCTATATTTACTTTCCAAACAAGATTAAAAGTTACCCTAACTTCCCCTCACCCCCAAACTGGATCTAAACTGACCTTGTTTGGATTGAGGGGAATGAGGGTGAAGGGAAGTTAGGGGAACCATTCACCTCCATTCACCTTATTTGGGAACACTTAGGAGGTGAAGTTAATTCACCCTAGTTCCCCTTGGTTCACCCCCTAATAGTGAAGTTAATTCACCCTAGTTCCCCTTGGTTCACCCCCTAATAGTATAAAAATTGTTACCCCCCAAATTAGGGTGTAACCAAGGGGAAGGGAACTCTCTTCCCTTCCCTTCACTTAGTTTTCCTTAACTTTCCCTTCAATTCCATTCACCCGTGCAAATCCAAACAGGCCCTTACATAAAAAGCTCCGTAAAATTAAAATTGATATAACCTTTTATAAAAGTATAAAATGACCCCTCTCTCATAACCGTAAAGAAAAATCCCCCCTCTTCTCTCTCAAACCCCTTCGTACGAAAACCCCCTCCAAATCTACTTTTCTACAGAAACAAACAAATTCGTTCTCGGATCGAAGATGTCGTCGCTTCGGAACGCAGTCCCTAGAAGGGCTCACAAGGAGCGAGCGCAGCCGTGAGTTCTCATAAAAATTTGATCTTTGTTTGAAAAATATGAAAAAGCTTCGATTTTGATTGATGGGTTTGATTGTGAAAACTTGCAGTGAGGCAAGGAAGAAGTTTGGGATTCTGGAGAAGCATAAAGATTATGTTTTGCGAGCAAAAGCTTTTCACCAGAAGGAAGAGGCTCTCAGAGTATGAATCTGGTTTTTTTCCCCGTGATGATTTTTATGATTATTTATTATTAGGTCTCATACTATAGGCCAAATTAGTGTAAACTATTTCATGGATGGAAAAAATGGAATCTGTAAATGATTACAATTTCTTCGGGTAAATTTTGAGAAAATCCCTCTATGGTGTAGAAAAAACAGAAAATCCCGTAGTGGCAAAGAGTTGAGGAAGAGAAATTAAAGAGAAGGATTAACATAATTATCCCATTCGATAACCGAAGGACTAAATTATTAACCCCTCAAATAAGTTTTATTTTAGCTTTTGTGATCATTTTTAGAGTTTTGGAATAACGAGGATTCTGACAATTTTGTTTATAAATACTCTTAATACTTCTATATAGGAGTATTAGTAAACCCCTCATTTTGAGGGGTGCGTTCTAGTTCTCCTAAACGCATTCTCTATAACAGGGATTTTCCTCTCAAGAAAATATATAGAGAAAAGAAGAAAGAATTAATGGGTTTGTTTCAACTGGGTTCCTACAGAAATTGAAGGAGAAGGCAGAGTTCAGAAATCCTGATGAGTTCTACTTCAAGATGATCAACACTAGGACTATCAATGGGGTCCATAGGCCACCGTAATATAAGCTCAAACTTCTTAAGTTTTGCAAGCTATTCTGCTATGAGATTCATTGGTCCATGATGTTTTCTTAGGAGTGAAGCAAACAAGTATACTCAAGAGGAGCTCATGCTAATGAAGACTCAGGATATGGGGTACATTCTTCAAAAAATTCAAAGTGAAAAGAAGGTTTGTCCAGTAGCCAAGCTAGATCTGCTTACCATATGAAATGTCATATCTTTTTTGGTTTAATTTTGAGTGATGTTCTCTATTGTTGTAGAAAATTGAAAGATTGACTTCTGTACTCCATGCATTGGATTGCCAGCCCTCGAACAAGCGTGTTTTCTATGCTGAAGACAGGTGAGAATATACTGACTTTGGTCAACCTTAGCAATTTTTTTAATTATTTATGTCACTAGACCTTGGTTTGATCTTCTGTGTCCAATTTTTTTTCCTGATTTTTTTTCCTTAAAGAGGTGCTTTATAGAGCAAATGTATTGAAATAGTTCTGTACAGCTAAGTGAAGATGTAAAGCAGCTATAGCATACATATTTCATTTGGACATTTTGGTATGTATGTCATAAGATTGGGATGCGGTCTAGATATTCAAGTAGCTATAGTCAGGCAATTCAAATTGGGAATGCTATTAGATCAGACCATCTAACTCCTCTCTGCATATGATTTTTGACCTTAATATTTGAGACGAAAAAGTTCATTGAAACTATTAGGATTAATGATCTTAATTAAAGGAAAATATGATATAATGATTAAAAAAAAGAGTGTGTTTGGTTCATTTTATCCGATCATTTGATTTAGTTGACACCACATTTGACATGGAGGGCATACTTTGTTAGATTAAATGAAGGATAACTTAGCACAAAAGGGACCTGATTAAATTGATCAGTGTATGTCGTCCAAATACTGTTAGAAATTGATGCAATTTTTCGTTGTAAGTGTTTGTTGTGGTATCTTATTCAGTGGAAGTTGATGCAATTAGAGATTGATTAATTGCATGGCACATTTTATTCAACAGCAGCACTGTGACAAAACTTCAAAAGCCTGTCCTTTCTTTTGTTCCTAAAAATTTACCTGTTACGAAGGGCATCAATGTTGTCTTTGACCTCCAAAATCCTTAGTAGTTGTGCACATATGTCATGAGCACCTGTGCTAAAGTTGTGAGATTGTGAATGAACGTAATCTGTCATGCAGGATAAGGATCCTAAAGTATCTCATAGCTAAATGTTGTGAGTTGCACCAGTTTTGAAGTCCCAAATAATGAGATGTACGACTATGTGAAGTTAATTGCTGAAGAAATAAGAACGAAGAGTGAAGGATGACCTTTGAGAGAATCATAAAGAATGCTGTAGTTGAGGACAAAGGAACGAAGAGTATAGTTTTGCATTTCATTGGCATGTAGCAGTCATAGTGCTTTCTAATGTTAGAATAGTGAGGTTCATATTTGTGCTTGTGTGTATGTGTTTTAAGGTGTTAGTATATGTGTCTGCGTCTGCATGTATTTCTTCCGCTTAGAGGGTTTGGGTTGGGAAGGAGTATTAATGTATTAGAGGCAGAAAGCATTGATGTAGAGGGACGAATGATAGTCCAGCAAGCATATACCTTTAGTAGTGTCTAATGTCTATTTTAACATACTTGTTTCCAGCAACAAAACTTATGTATACATGACATCCTTACCAATGTATGTAGAGATTATGTACATGTGTTTCCATATTTGGATTTGAATACTTGCCATGCTAGGTACAAATGATTAGAGATCTGAAATTGTGAGGATTTAGAAAGCCTCATGCTAAACAATTATAAGCTACAAAGATAGAATATCAAATAATATCAAGATTGGTATGGTTAAGAGTCTTTTCTCTGGCTTGCTTTCAGTATTTGGTATCCACTTTTATTTTAGGAGCTTTTCTTACCTATTACTTGGGAGGCCATCTACAAATCAACATGACACAATAAGTATCCTTACTGCTGACATTTTCTATAGATTTCAGTTATTATTTATTGTGTCATACTGTATGGTTGCTTTTGTATTTTTCTAGCTCTTGCTTCGGTTGGCTGCATAAATGGACTCATATCGGCTGGTTGCCAATTTGCTTCCTTTTATCGTGATTTAGTGCATTCTGTTTCTGGTCGACCTCCAGATTTTTATGGCCGTGTTTCATGATGTACAGCCCTTGTGATATGTTGACCATCTCATTATGTGTTTTTCTTGCTGCCAATTTGGAATGTGCAACTTTGTTTTGTGAAAAGGCTCCATCCATGCTGTTGATTGTTCTCTTGTGCATTTTTTTTAATCCTTCGAGCATTGCAGGTCTAGCCTCCGTTAACTTCTCCCTAGCTTTGCAATTTATTTCTTCCTATTTTTTCCCCCTTACGTGCCCAAGCTCTTGCCTTTTTTGCTGCCTTGTAATTTATTGAATTTTTCTTTGTTCTTGTACACGCTGACCTGGATAAGTTGCTTGCTTACCTATGTGCCATGTTTAGGATCCAGCCTAGCTCTCCCTGGATTACAATTGTTTGGATAAGCTTTGTGTTTATTGTATCTCTTAAGATTTTCTTTAGTGTTAAGTTGCTCTTATGCTAACATCAGGACCTTTTGTTTAATGATTGGACACTCTTGACCTTTTTGTTCTTATTGCCTCCTTTTAGTATGAAACTTGAATTGTAACTGGTAAGAAAAGTACAAGGAGAGAGGAGTTAGATAAATCTTCGTGTATAATTTTGTATGCATACATTATCAGCTTGTATTGTTTACCAAAGCTGTTATTTCAGTTTGATTTCCATGTATTCATCTCTCTTTCCTCGAATATTAGTTTGAATTTCTTTTTTGTTTTATGTCAGAGAAGAAGCCAAGGATATACGATCAAAATCACTTGAGAGCAGCAATTCGCCTGATTTTAGTAAAGTGCCAAATAGAATAAAGAAGTGAGTTCCTAGTTATTCATAAAATTGAAATTGACATTTCTTTAAACGAATTAATTTTGTTTTCAATTTAGTTCCCCTCGCAGTCTCCTAGTTCTCGCTCAACTTTCATTTCTAAATAAGATTTTGATAACTGATGTTTGATCAGTTCTGTTGTTTGTCTTCACTGCTTTCCTCAGGAAAACAGCTTCCTCGTATGCAGAGGTAGAATCAAGAAAACAGAGGGTTCAACAATTAGAAAAACTATACTCGGACATGGCTTTGCAGAAAGAACTACAGGTTCATACCTTCACGTTGCTCATGTGAGAAAACTAAATTTGAAATTTGAAGGACTAATTGCAGATACATACCTTATACAATGAGGGAGTAATCATTTAACCATTCAGAACTCCAGACAACATTATTTTCCAAGTTAGGCATGTGTTCATAATTTACCTTTTACCTTCCATTTAACTTGAAAAAAAGGACTAATTTGCCTTCTAAAATTAGGGGTGAAATGCAAGGCTAATTGATAAATTAGGAGGTGTGAGTGGGAATCGAAAATTTTTATGGGAAATAAGTGACTACAGCATTTCGTACTGGGTATGTATCAGACACTTTTCAAGTTATATGTGTAGAAAATTGTTGAAATGGTAAATCAGAATCCTCTCTTAGGATTTCTCCTCATGGATACATACATATAGGAGTACAAATGGGTAATAGGCAAGGTTTTAAATATCGGATGTCGGGTTCATGTCGGACGGCTGAAATTCATGTCGGATAGCGGAAATCGGGGATATATCGGGGGACATGGACTAAATATCGGATTGTCATATCGGATGGGCGTATATGTATAATATCATGTCCTAAATGTAATCTAAGCATTCCTAAATTCAATATAAGCATACTTTATAAATTGTATAGACTAGATATATAAAAAAGTAAACAATATATGATGTTTAGGATCACTAACTGATTGTAGAAATTTGATTCTCAATTGCATCCTGAAATTTTATAAACTAGACATATAAAAAAGTAAATAATATATACAACTCAGTATTTTTCCATTCATCTGGACAATTTTATATTGATTAGAAAATTATTACTCCTCAGCCAGATGACCTTGAACTATATAACTATTCATACAGCCCACTCACTAGCTTTTCAGAATTCATAGCAAGTTCGTTGCTTCCACATTATCTTCGATAGAGGCCCATTTTAGAGGGAAGCTTACCTGATTTTGAGAAACAAATCAACAACTCATTTTACTTAATCAGCAACTCAACAGTTAGCGGTGGACTGAAAAAATGTAAGTATATTTGTCATTAGAGAGAGAGAACATGAGCAATTCTGATTTTGATGAAGTGATTTTACTTTTTAGCAGTCAGCAGCACTGGCCCCTTGCACAACTCAAACTACAGGGAAAAAAATGCAGAGAAAAAAACAGTCAAGTTAAAATTCCGAAAAAATAAGACTAAAATTCCAAAAAAAAGTCTTATCTAAAAAGCACTCAGAGACAGAGAGAGAGAGAGAGAGAGAGAGAGAGAGAAAGGGGCGTGAGAGAGCATACCTCAGGATTCGGTCGAAGGCGGTCAAAGACAGTCGAAGGTGGTTGAAGGCTTGCGGAGCGGTCGAAGGCGGTCGAAGGCACAGTCGAAGCAAGAGCTTTTGTCGAAAGGTGTGGAGCGGTCGAGAGGCGTCGAAGGCGCAGTCGAAGCGCGGTCGAAGAGCGGTCGCGAAGGCTTTCGGAGCGTCAGGCGGTGACGCGGCAGCTGAAGCTTTAAGGTTTCGACGAGACGGAACTTCGAAGGGCCGGCCGAAAATGCAGTCGAAGGCAGTCCAAAAGCGGTCGAAGGCAGTCGACAGCTAGAAGAGCGGTCGGAGGCGGTCGGAGGTGGCTCAAGAGGCGGTCAGAGGCGGCTCAAGAGCGGTCGCAAGAGCTGTCCTGTTGCCCTAGTGCTTTTCTTTTATCGGCTTTTTTTTCGTTCAACAGCTTTTTTTTTCATCGACTTGGTATAGAGTCCCAGCAGCGGTCAAATGGATTCGGGTTTTGTGATAACCCAAACCCATTAACTCAAAAACTCCCTTTAAACCGAAATCTGGGTATATCGGCCGATTTTTCAAAGTTGAAAAAGCGGCCGATATGCCCACTTTTTGACCGATGTATCCGATTTACCCCAAAAAACCGCTATACGACTCATGTATGACCGACTCATGTCGTTAGAGCCATCGATCCGATATATCGGCCGACATGTCCGACATGTCGGTCGATATTTAAAACACTGGTAATAGGTTATTGGGTCTTAACCCGATAACCCAATACTTAATTCTAACACTCCCTCTCAAGCTGGAGCATATATATCAATTATGCCCAGCTTGTTACACAGAATGGAAAACACCTAGGTGAAGTAGTTTTAGTAAAAATACCAGCTAACTGTTCTGAAGACGGAGTGAACTGAAGAGAGATCACTTTCTTTTCCCAAGGATTTCTAACAAAATTACAATCAACTTCAATGTGCTTAGTTCTCTCATGAAACACTGGATTCTTTGCAATATGGATAGCAACTTGATTATCACAATGCATAGACATAGATCTAGGTTGAGTAAAACCAAGCTCGGTCAGCAGCTTCTGTAACCATATCATCTCACAAACAGTGTGAGTCATAGCTCTGTATTCTGCCTCTACACTAGATCGAGATACTACACCTTGTTTCTTGCTCCTCCAGGTAACCAGATTTCCTCCAATAAAGGTGCAAAATCCAGAAGTAGACTTTCTATCTTCAATATCTCCCGCATACCTAGCATCAGAATAGGCAGAGATGTGTGAATGTCCATGTTTCTTATACAATAATCCTTTTCCCGGACAGCTTTTAACTTAAGTTAAAATTCTTAGAGCAGCAATCCAGTGAACCTCTCTAGGTTTATGCATAAACTTGCTCAGTACTCCCACTGCAAAGATAATATTAGGTCTGGTTACAGTAAGATAGATTAACTTTCCAATTAATCTCCTATATCGGCCTGCATCATCTAGGAGAGGATTATTATCACACCACAAATCTACATTCACTTCCATGGGAGTGTTTGCTGGCTTACACCCCCAAAGGCCCATCTCTTCTAATAAATCCAATACATATTTCCTTTGAGATAGAAGCAAACGGTCTTTTTGATATGCAATCTTAATTCCAAGAAAGTATTTAGGTTTTCCCATATCTTTGATCACAAAGTGACGTGAAATGTATTCCTTAGTCTCTGCTAAGGCAGCAAGGTCACTCCCAGTTAGCAAGATGTCATCAACATATACTGTCAGAATCACCAGACCAGATGTAATGCGTCGGATAAAGATGGTGTGATCAGACTAACATCGTTTGAAACCAATACCAGATATAGCTATACTAAATTTCTCAAACCATGCCCGTGGACTCTGTTTGAGACCATAAATTACCTTTTTAAGCTTGCAGACATTATTCTCCCCCTGAGCAACATTACCCTGACGGTTGCTCCATATAGACTTCCTCCTACAAGTCACCATACAAGAAGGCATCCAGCTAAAACATTGTCCAGTCTAGATTAACGACCATAGAGAAAAGTAGGCGAATGAAGTTGAGACGGGCTACGAGAGAGAACGTCTCAAGATAGTCGACCCCATAGGTTTGAGTATAACCCTTAGCGACAAGACGAGCTTTATATCGATCAATCGAACCATCTGTGCAATACTTCAATGTATAAACCTACAGATAGCCAACCACAGTAGCACCCGTCGAAAAAGATACAAGATCCCAAGTTCTTCTAGAAACAAGTGCATCTATCTCCTCATCCATGGTTTATTTCCAAGCAGGAACTAACACGGCCTCCTCATAGGATCCGGGTAGAGATATAGAGGACAAGGACAAAGCAAACTGACGAGAAGACAAGGACAAAGCAAACTGACGAGAAGAGGGAGTAAGACGGTTATAAGAAACAAAATCAGATATAGGATGATTAGTACAAGACCGTTTACCTTTCCGATGAGCAATTAGAATGTCCAGATCAGAGGAATTAGAAATATTAGAAGGAGACAGACCTGCAACGGGAGATGACTGTTCGGTTGGAGCAGAGAGAGGGACATGATTTTTTGGACGGTGACAGTAGTGACGGCGGTGCATATGGCACAGTGGAGGCATTTTGTAGTCCTAGAGAAGATCCATTAGCAGAAAGAACGAAAGCGGGTAATGGAACAGTAGTAGGAGCAATAGACGAAGTAGGCACAGATGGATTGACAGGTGGAGATGAACCAGTCGAGGAGAAGTATGGAATAGACTCAAAAAAGTTACATTTGCTGACACAAAATATCTCTTGGTGGAAGATTGATAACACCGATAACCTTTTTTAGCACGTGAGTAGCCTACAAAGACACACTTAATAGACCGAGGAGATATTTTATCCAGTCCTGGAGACAAATCCTGAACAAAACAAGTATAGCCAAAACCACGAGGAACCACATGAAAATGTTGTTTATCAGGGTTCTAGCCACATCTAAAATGTGTCTACACTTCCTCTCAGCAACCCTATTTTGTTGTGAAGTGTGAGAACATAAAGTTTGATGGATAATACCAATATTTGCACAAAAATGAGAGATGTTATTTTTCATGTATTTCAACGCATTATCGGCACGAAGGATACGAATAGAGGTGGAAAATTAGTTTTTGATTTCTCTGTAAAAGATTTCAAAAACAGTCGAAACCTCAGATCTCTCTTTTAATAGATAAAGCCAAGTCATGCGAGAGGATTTCAAAAACAGTCGAAACCTCAGATCTCTCTTTTAATAGATAAAGCCAAGTCATGCGAGAGAAGTCATCAATAAAGACCTCAGATCTCTCTTTTAATAGATAAAGCCAAGTCATGCGAGAGAAGTCATCAATAAAGACAATGAAATATCTGTAACCTTTCACTGAAGGTATACGACAAGGACTCCAAACATCAGAATGGATTAACTCAAACGCAGAACTACTATGTTTATCAATACGATTCGGATAGGTAGCATAATGGTGCTTACCCAGATCACAAGACTCATAACCTAAAGAAGAAACAGAGGATGGGATAGAAAGAACATATCTAAGCTTCGATAATGACGGATCACAAAGATGTTGATGCCATAGTAAAGGATGATCAGATTTGTCTGCAACAAGACCAGTAGTGGGCATATTATCGTCCAAATAGTACATGCCTCCTCTCTCATGCCCCGAACCAATCGTCATCTCAGTTGCTAGGTCCTAAAAAATACAATAAGAAGGAAAAAATATTACTTTACAGTTGTGTTTGGTGAACTGACTGATGGATAATAAACTGACAAGAAATTTTGGAAGATATAAGACGTCAATAAGGGTTAGTGATGAAGTAACATGTACTACTCCATCACCAAGAACTGGAGAGTAGGAACCATCAGCAATGCTGACCGATGGAACTTGTCGGACAGTTTTAAAGAAACAAAGTGATCCTTTATACTTGTCATATGAGAAGAGGCACCAGAATCTAATACTCATGCTTGTGAGGAGAGACAATGTAGGCATCCATACCTGAAGAGGATGCATGAGTAGCAGAATGACTATTCTGAGAGGACTCGAGTTGACGCAACTGGTCATACTCAGCTTGCGAAATTTAAACAGTGGAGGGAGCAGAAGTAGTCGAAGAATCAATAGAGGTAGGTGTAATATCAACAATATGTGCCCATGCAGGGCGACTAAACTCCTCCTAACACTTCTCAGAGATATGATTAGTCCTCCCACAATATCTGCACGGACGCAGAGTATTCTCTGAATCAACCTGTCTCCCAAAGGTGTCACGTCCTCCTCGTGTCGCGGCCACGTCCTCGACCACGACCACGACCTCTGCCACGTCCGGAGAACATAGCAGACTGATCAAGTGATGGAGCGATCGGTGTGGGAGATGCAGTAGTCACTCTAGTAGTTACATGCATAACTCTGGAGAATATAGCAGTCAAGGAAGGGATAGTATCGCTCCCGAGTATTTGGCTCCGTATCTGAGACTGCAAAGTGGGACTCAATCCTGACAAGAACTTGGAAACTGTAAGGTCCCACGATATCCTAACAGAGTTGATGCATCCGTAACGACGGGCTGATGCATCTCTAATTCATCGATTAGACTCTTCAGCTCACCAAAGTATTCAGGTACAGAGCGATCGCCCTGTTGAAGAGAGAAAAGGCGTTCATACAACTCGAACACACATGATACATTTTTCTCATTCCCGTACATAATTTTTAAATTATCCCACATCTTCTTAGCAGTGTTCGAGAACATGACACTGCTACTAATCTGGGTTTCCATGCCATTAAGAAGCCAAGTCATCATACAACAGTCAGCAGCAATCCATGTATGCTACGTAAGATCTGTAGATGCGAGAGGTGGGGTCAGAAGATGAGCTAATTTATTCTGAGCACCAATGAAGATGCGGAAGGCTTGTGCCCAAAGTAGATAGTTGGTGTCATTTAACTTCACCGTGGTCCCCCAATACAACTTTGGGGGCAGAGATCTCAGTAGTAATAGGGGTAGTAGTAGCAGCAACAGAAAAGATGTCAGATCCTGTCATTGTTACAGAACAAGATAGTACAGTAGCAGGAGAATCACAATCTGCTTGTATAAAACCCGAAGGTTTGAATAGAATCCGAAGGTTTGAATAGAAAACCCTAAAAGGTTAGAATAGGAACCCGAAGGTTAGCATAGAACCCGAAGGTTAAAGATCTCAACCCAGTTATATATATATATATATAGTTTTTGTTTTGTTTTTTGTTTTTTTAGGGTTTGGAGAGTGACGGCTCTGATACCATGTTGAAATGGTAAATCTGAATCTTCTCCTAAGGGGGGTTAGTCACCTATAACTTTTTAAGTAGAACTGGGATAATTGGTAAAGTGGGATAATATTTTAACATTGGGATAATTTAGTGGAACAATGATAGGTAATTCTTAAAGTGAGATAATTTGGTAGGATAATTTAGTAGGATAATGATGGATAATATTATGAAGTTGTATAATTTGGTAGGATAATTTGGTGGGGGTAATGGTGGGTATAAATTACTATTGTTAATAATTGTATATTAAAAATAATGTAATATTGATAAGCAAATTCTAGTAATAACTATAAAATATAATGCAATAAATCATTACTATTCATCTCAAATAATAAAATAATTTACAAATAAATAAAAATCTAAATCCCTAGAGTGACTCGACTTCCATCATCCCACATGGTTTCTATCATCTCACATGGCATCTGCCATAGAATTTCTCCAAGCTTCTACAGCTGCTCGTTGAGTCTGTAACTCAGTCTTCTTTATCGGGGCCATCGTCTGCATCAGCCACATTTCGTGGAGCTTCTAGTAGAGGATCATAAATGTCGAAGTTCAAATCTCAGCACATCATAAAGAAAGAAAAATAAGCATTTTCAGCCATTAACCCTTTGGACCAATCTCATCATGATCGCTGAAACTAAATCAGCAAATAAATGAAATGTACACATGAATCTTCCATGGCCGCTAAACAGATGATTGACAGATGAACTATAAATATCCCAATCAATTTACTGAGCCGATTTAATAATAATAGATATCACTGTTAACCATTCAACATCTAATCATCAATGTGATTGCAAAGTTGCTTTCTAACTTATAAAAAAAACATAAAAGTAATACATCTTGAAGATAATAATAAAAGCTATCAATAAAAGTAATACATCTTGAAAAAAAAACATAAAAGTAATACATCTTGAAGATAATAATAAAAGCTATCAATAAAAGTAATACATCTTGAAGATAATAATAAAAGAATAAAAGTAATACATCTTGAAGATAATAATAAAAGATCTAATCATCACAAAAACAAAGTAAAGACAAAAATAAACGGATGATTGACTTCATGGCAGAGAAATTTTCTAGGCGGAGAAACTAACCAAGAGAGAGGGAGGCGGCGTTTCACTTTTTTTCCCAATTGTATTCTTTTCAATGTGTGGGATAATTTGAGAGAGGAGAACTTATGGTTATATATGTAGGTAGTATAATTTATGGGATAATTATGACCAATTATCCCAATTCTAATTCTAGTAGAATTCTACTTGACTAACGCACCAAAAAAATAATACAGTTCTAGTTCTACAAAAGTTCTACTTGACTAACACTATAAAAACATACCTCAATTCCTAGTTCTATGTGACTAACACCTTAAAAATTTATCCCACAAATTATCCCAGTTTCAGTTTTAAGTTCTAGATGACTAACCCCCCCTTAGGGTTTCTCCTTATGGATACATATATATATGAGTACAAATGGGTAATAAGTTATTGGGTCTTAACCCGATAACCCAATATTTAATTCTAACAAAAATAAACCTAAGTTGGCATTGCTTCTTGGGCGAGTGCTTTTGTCGTGGCTGATTCTCCTTTTCCTTTTGGGCTAGTTGTGTTACATGTTTTTCTAGTCATGAGCATAGTTTGTGTAATTAAATAGAATTGAGTTAATTATTTCTTTTTGAAGCAGAAATCTGGTCGTAAGCGCAAACTCCGTGAAGAAGAGTTGGTCTCCCCAACAAGTAGACCGGTCTACAAATGGCGTACAGAACGTAAACGATGAAATACTTTACAAAACGAACGTAAACGATGAACTACGTTGCAGAACGTAAATGATGAAGTATGCAAGGATATTCTTTTCCTGATGATTTCATTATGCTTGTGGCTCCTCAACCGTTTTGGTGACTTTTAACTGAAGATAAAGACAATCAATGGATGTATTTTGCTACCAAGGTTGTTAATTTAAGTGGATAGTTAACATCTTTTGTATCTTATGGTAGAAAGGTGAGGATTATATTTCGTAGCTATAACACCATTGTTGGTAATATTATGCTTAAACGTTGTGTCAATTCACTTTTTCAAATCTGCAGTATGACCGTTGCTATATGATTGAATCGAATCCTCTTCCCTCTGGTGATATTACTCTCCTTTTATGAGTTAAGTATCAAAAGCCTTGATCTGATTGTTTATCAAAAGTGCATACAGATTTTCTTTTTCTTTTTCTTTTTCTTTTGTACTTCTAATTGTTCTGTACAGATTCAATAAGAGATTGTATTGTACTGATTCAATGATAGATAGTTTTGAATACATCATCCGTCCCATCACAGATAAAACATATAAAATGATCATTGTTAAGGAAAATGGACCTAATGAGGACAATGCAGCTGTTGACATGGTTTGTGATCTGTATGCTACGAAGACAAAAAGTAGCAGCGCAAACCGTTCAATGGATTCCTTCATGGTGGAATTGAGTAACAACGAAATTGATCCACATCTTTTCATCCCCATCAAAAAACAATCAATCATCAAATTTTTTTTACGGTCCAAATATTTTGCACGTTGACCTCCAATTACATCATTTTCAGAACAAGAGGTCTTCACATAGCTCTTTGTTCATGATCTATATCCCTGTAGTGTGATTATTTTCTCTACAACACTAGATTTCATATAATAATATAATAAAACTTGTCCCAAACAATCTTGTACCTCATCCTTGGCCATGTTTTTCAATTCCGATACTAGGTGCCAAGTATTGAAATTGGGAGGTGCTCTCTTTCACTATTAAATTACACTTACGAGAGAAATTCTTATCAAAATACGACATGTTCAAAGTTTTGATACAATGTACTCCGCGATCGCAAGGCTTGATGTCAGTCCAGGTGATTCTATGCCGAACAAGTTAATTAGTCCCGGAACACCATGAACATCCTCTCCCTGCACAATTAAGAAGTAAAGGATGAACAAAATAACACGTTTAGTGTAGAGAACATCATGCATCCGAAGTTAAAGTCTGCTCGTGAAGAGAAGAGTAAATTGCAGTAACCCTCCTCATCTATACCTTAAGTTGAACTATTTACTAGCACTTGACACCCCTAAATAAGCAAATACCAAACTCTTTTGGCATGCTTATTGAAATTGCTTCTGTTTTTAAGGGGATGCTTTTGGTGCATCATGAATACGCTTTTAAAAGCAACTTCTGCATTTTTTTTAGTTTATAAACCATATACATTCCTTTTATCTTTTAACAATGATCATTAAGCAAAGCTCTACCAAAAATAATTTCCGAAATTTGATTACCAAACAGCTATTTTCAACCGCTAATATAAGTTGCTTCTATAAGCTGCTTATAACATTCAGCAATACCAAACTGGCCCTAAGTAGCCATTGCACCTTAAAATCTGAAACATACTAATTAATAAATTACATAACTGAACACTCATATGAGAAAATTATCATATAAAAAGAGTTCGATGACTTCGTAGTCCGAAACAAATAAATTTATGTACAAAATGAAAAAGACCCAGTACTTCAGAAATCAAGAAAGAAAAATAAGGTTTAATCCAGACATCGACAAGCATGCCAAAGAAAGAAATAATTAAGATGCACCAAATTAATTTCTAAACATTCCAATAGTATAGACAAAGAGAGGCACCTGAATCATGAAGTCCTGAGGTGGCTGTTTTGGGCCACAGAGCTTTGCTCGGATGCCAGAATATCCTGGCTCTAGACATCCGTCCTTTAGATTACGAAAATATTTTCTTATTTCTGGGTAGAATCTAGCAGATCGATCAGAGCTGACAGAATAATCAAACCTGGAGCAGCACAAACTGTAAATTTCAGAAGTTTGCACACTATGACTGGAATTTGTAAGTGATGAGTAAACATAAACACTGGCAATGAAACTTTAGAAAATAAATGATGACAGTGTCATGAAGAAGTTACAAGAGAACATATGGCTAATATAACTTACAGCAAGTGAAGTTGCGGAGAATGTAAAAGTGATCATGGAAGAATGTAATGATTAGTCTTATGTTAACAGGTTAGTGGATGATGTGATTGGTTCATAAATGTTAACACTCAAAGAAGATACTAGAAGGTGTAAAAGCCATTTCTTCTGGAGAAAACTTTTAGTTTCAACAGAGACTGCATTATCATTTAATTTCAATCGGTATGAAGTACCAACAAGGTACTTCAGTCTTGAAGATAACATAGGTTTATACTTAAATGCACCCATCTAGAATTTATTATGGCACATTTCTTATCCTAAGTAATGAAGTCATGATTGTAACCTTATTTGCATCTCACTACTTCGCTATTACAAAAAGGGTAAATTTCACAACACATCCCCCCACCCCCCGAACCAACAAAAAAAAACACACCCCAAGGGCGCAGTTTGGCCGTTTTTGAGATAACTTCCCTAAACTTAGGAAATGTCATGTAACCCCCTTAAGTTTGGTCAGATAACCACCTAACTAACATCTTTATATCTGACTATGCATGTGAAAATTGTGTCGGTCCCCATGACCAAAATGCCCCTGATAAAAATACCCTTCCCTATTATTTTTACTAAATTTTAAAGTAATTTTCAAAAAGCCCGACTTAAGTTTGGTCATTATTAATAATTAATTGGAAACGTTTGGGAGTTTTCTAAAATATCCAACTTCAATGGGGGTTTAGAAACATTTTTAAAGTTCAGGGGTAATATGGGTGACTTCGGGGGTTTTTTTTTTTTTTTGGGCGGGGGGAGGGGGGCTGCTGTTGTGAAATTTACCCTTACAAAAATCAGTCAAAATTTACCTATTGAGGAAGCTAGATATATCATCTGGGCCACTGATCCACTCTACATCTGGACCAAACTTGACAAGACCACTAAGATCAATAGTGACATGAACTCCGATACCTCCATCTTCTGGCATCGGGTAAATTAAGTGATTGAAAGGAGGAGTTCTGGTCTTAGATAGAGTGAAATAGCAACCACGAGCATAGTATGGAGAAGGAACAACTTTACGGCTAATGCCATCAAATCTTCTTGCAAGAGGAACGGCACTCAAGCCAGCAGAGTTGATAACAAGCCTGGGAATTAATATTAGCTGAGGCAATACAGGAGAGTCCACTATATTATTAGCAAGTTCCTTGCTTTCTGAAATATGTAGATGTAGACGATCTCCTTCAATATGGCCTCCTACTACAGTAGTATTATAGGATAAGGTAGCTTTACAATTTTCAGCCTCTCCCTGTACCCACATTGATGTATTAATCAGTAAAATTTCCCAAACTGTTGAATGGAATGGAGCACAATAAAAGCAATAAATATGACATGGTAATAGGTTTAACACAAGTTAGCAATGACTCTGAAACTCTCCTAATGTGAGACAACTCCATTTTCTCTTAATAACACAAAAGTAATCAGTTGACCATACCAGAGCCCATACTTTCTTGGTGTAACAAATTTGATTTATTTTTAGAAGTAGAAGAAAAATACTTGTCCATTAGCAAGCAAAAAAGCGTTGTACTCGGTGCAATATCATCAGGTAATAGGAGTAAGAAACTGCTTCATTTATAGAATTTCCCCCTTATGAGTACAATACTCAACCAAATGCCACATGTATGGACACTTCCATTAAGGAGACTTAATCAGAAGGACATCAGCATTCTTGGACACTCCTTGAACACAGATAGGGAACTTCTTGAATATGTCCTCAATTACATAACATATTTTTAATTTATGATATTTGTCATGCACTTAGACATCTCTCAGACATCTCTCATGCTCTTCTCTGTTTATATTACATATTTCAAATATTTATTTATTTTCAGTATATATATTAAACACCTTTAGTAGAAAAATACAGCTGAAGTACAAACTATGAAAACTCAGAATGATGGGAATTCTAGCATATTAAGTGATGTGGTTGAATTTTAGCCAAGTGAATAAAGGGGATTCCTTATTTCTTAGTAACTAGGGGTGCTAAACCGTATCCGTATCCGATGAAATATCCGTAACCGTATCCGTTAGGATACGAATATGGTTACTCAAATCTATAACCGATAGGATATGGTTATGGATATGGTTTTGTAGTGAAATATCAGTATCCGTATCCGAAATATCCGAATACATATTAGTCATACTCTTACGATAGTTTCGATTCTTAGATTATGGATTTGTGGTTAATTTTGATGATCAAGATGACTAATCTTAACTATTTAGTTATAATGGACATATTAACGAACTTTTTTGTATCACATGAACTATGTTTTTCTCAATAGTATATAGTTTTCTCATATCTGTTTTGTATCCGCATGCATATCCGCTTATATATCCGCATGTATATTCGTAACCGTATCCGATTTTAGCGGATATGATTATAAGTTTTTCTTACCGAGGTATATCCGTATCCGTATCCGTATCCGAGATGGGTAAGCGGATATGGATATGGTAAGCATCATATCCGAGCCGTATCCGGACCGAATGCACCCCTATTAGTAACTCATCCCATATCACTTGATCTCTTGGTAGCTCCACACACTCACTCACACACACACACGTGCGCGCGCTCACACACAGGCGCGAGCATATCGAAGTGTGGACATATCTATATACCTATATGACTTGGGTACTTCTATCATGAAGGTCATACGCGTACTCAACACATACAGGACACTCCTTGGACATGTCTATCATGTACTGTACCCGTATCGGACACTCGCGCTCCTTGAATATACGCATACAATTATTCAAATGTGTACATAATTATATAATACATGTTTTAATTTAAAACACTCAGCATACACTTCTTGGACGTTCTTGTTGTGTCCCGTACCCGTTCATGTGTCCATGTGACTTAGATGTGTGCATATATATTTTACACAGTCCCTCTTTATTATTTATAGGTTATCTTTATTACTTATAAGTTATTCTGTTGTCATACAACCATCTAATCCTATGGTCCTACTTTTAAGGGCTTTTTGTGTTGTGTCTATGGACATGTTTTTTTAGGTAATGAAAACATTAGGCTCGCCATACAGCAAAGAAAAAGGGTATTAACTGTACTAACAGCAGGGCAGATTTCTTCAAGACAACCTGCTTGTATGAAGTACTTACCAACAGCGAACAATACATTACTCATTTAACTAAAGAGACCAGCAATGATAATTTTGCAGATTTTTAGCATCAAAATCAAGAAAAAGAGTCATTCAACAAAAAGGCATTCAATTCAATAGGATGCAGGAGATACCAACAAGGAGAGCATAAATGAATGTGAATCAACTATTCCGGTGCTTGGAGATAACAAAGCTTTGACACATTGAAGTTCAGGTTCCATTCTCATAGCATCAGAGCCCTCCATCATCCTTAGATCTTCAACCCCATTTGCGATCCCAAACCTCATAAGATTTTCCAATTTCGGGATCTCCGCAACACTAGTAGCAACTATTAGTTTACCAAGCTGTTTGTGGGGGATCCCTCGATCACAACAGTACTTGTACAATAATTCTTTTCCTCTTACACAAAATCTTGCCTACAGTAAATCATTTTGTATCGCATAAGAGTGAAGAAAAAAATATATTAAAACTCTAGCAATGTTTTTTTAATCCTATTTCCAATTGCTAACAAAATATACAAATGTAACTCACTTAATTGTAATTTTGCCATGATAAGCAGTCAAGCACTTGTTCATCCATGTATTAATCACTGTACCTTCTTTAAAAAAGAAAGAAAGAAAGAAAAGCTTGATGAACTCTCTTCCTAAACACATGCAAAAACGAAATCGATAGTATTAATAGCTTAACAAAAGATAAAGTCGTATTCACCACGAACAGAAATTTCTGATTCATGCTTCTGCTCATACAAAGATATCAACTACATTTTAGTATAAGAAAGATACATAACATACTGAAATTGATGAACAAGCAGTAGGCAGCGAGAGTGCATGTGGCACTAAAAAAAATTAAATAATATCCTTCAAACTAATGAGATAGCTTACTAAAATCAACATGCATAACAATAGATTAAACAGACCATAACCACAAACAACATTTCTACTCAAAATTTTAGCTTAATTCTCCACCAAACAAAAATTATGTTAAGTTAATTATCCAAACATTCCAGCTAAGTCATATCATCATCGAAACCCATTCTCCCCTAAAAATTCTAACCAAATTCATGATAAAATTATTCAATAAAGTCCCCTTTAAACAGATAACAAATTACTGAACCCTCAGGTCGCATCAAAGATCTCAACTTTGAACCGAACCAAGGAAAAAGATCGCACCTTGAGGGATTTCGCGGGGTAATAAATCCCAGCATGAATAACTTCACTGTTACGAGAACTCGTACCGGTGCCAAACGTACCGGCCGATTCAATAACAAGAACCTCTCTCCCTCGCAGAGCCAGCTCTCTCGCGACGGCCAGCCCGGCCGCGCCGACGACCACCGCGTCAGCGGTTTCCGTCGGGGTTGCGGCGAAACCTCGCGGACTGCTTTTGATGGCAGTGGCGATTTTCGAAGAGCAGTTTCGGATTGTGTTTCGGAGCATTGGATTTCGGACGAAATATCGCGGGTTTGGTCTGATACCGGACATATGGGTGGGGTTTTTCTCGATAAGTCCGTTTAATCTGCCATATTAGGAGTTGGTACCTCAAATGCTCGCTGTTAGGTCCTCGGCTCTTAGGGGCTGTTTGGTTCGCTTTAAAACCCCGTAGAAACACTTTTCTCCTCCTGACACCCGCTCCACATCGACAAAACCCATTCTAGGGTTTTCGTTTCCCATCTTTGGTTCGCTTCTCCCCCTCGTCCCTCCAGCCGCGGAAATCCCCTCCACATCGGACTTTTTTCTTCGCCCCATTTCCTTCGAAAACGAGAGGAAATCGCCCCCGATCTGTACTATTGTCAGATCTCGGGTAAATGGGGGGAAACACGGTTGAGGGCTAGGGTCACCTCCTCTTTCCC